CAAAGTCTTCCGTCCTGTGATTATTTGATTGTTGTTGACACAGGGCCAGACAACAAATGCGGGGGTCATCCCAGCCTACCACAAAAAAAAGGCCACTGTTGTTCAGTCAAAAGACCTCCACAGGAAACATGTTTTATACGGGTCATTAATCTGAGGACTAAACTGTGCAGATACATGTAGTGTTTATACACACTCAACAGGCTGAGCTCACTTTATACATAGCGTGGTTTTTTTTGTGAATCACTAGCTCGAGTAAATGGGTAAAATAAGAGCACGCTCCATCCTGTTTAGATTCTGCAGCCAATGTTCTGTGGTTGATCCGTTCTAATGTGATCTCATGCATTAGGGATCCAGGAGTATGTGGAGGCCGTCTCTTTCCTGCACTACATCCGTCATCGCAGCCTCATCAGCCTGGAGGAGATCAACGCCAGACTGGTGTTCATGAGAGCAGAGAAGGTCAGTAGTTAAACTGGCTCCGTAGTTAAACTGCCTGCGCTTTGTTTTGTTTTTTTTCCTTTTCTTCAGTTTAATTCCTTATAGGTGGAAATTAAATGAGGTTTGAATGAATTGTACGTGTTTGCTTTTTTCCCCCTAAGTTTGATCAAACCACTGTCATGTCTGTTCACAAAATATGAGGCGACAGCCAGCAGGCACGTATTATCTCAGCTGAGCATAAAGCCTGGCTTTGTTAAAATCTGTTATATTTAGTAAACAGACATGAGAGTGGTGCAGATCGTTTCATCTTTTTATCAGTATGAAAACAGTGACGTTTATTTCCCAAACTGTCAAACTATTTCTTAATGAATATCATTGTAAATAATGTATAGTTCATTTTGCAATATTTCCTTTTAAAGCAGTGGGGATGGCACACAAAGACAACACTGGGTTGTGCTATGTGTCATTATGTCATTTTATCCACTCTGTCTGTTATTTTCGGGCGCCTGTTGATGCAGACAACATTGTGGGAAAGCATCGTCATGCTTGAAGAAAATCTTATTTGTGGCTCTGGGCTTTTCTGTAGAAATTCATCTGGACATCGTAAACGTCTCATCTTATAAACATTGATTCATCATCACTCATGTGTGTTCAACCTCCTGGGATTTCAGTGTGTTGTTTTAATTATTATTATTAATATTACTCAACATGTGTTTTTGGCAGGGTGGAGCTGAAACGCTGCAGCCCGGAGCTCAGGTCCTGACCTTCCACGTGACGCCCTCAGACTACCTGCTCGGAGTGGCCGACCTGACCGGAGAGCTGATGCGCATGTGCATAAGCAGCGTGGGCAATGGTGACATTGAAACGCCCTTCCAGCTTAGCCAGTTCCTGCGGCAGATCCACGACGGCTTCTCCTACATTGGGAACACAGGCCCTTATGAGGTGTCCAAGAAGCTGCACACGCTGCGACAGAGCCTGGGAAAGGTGGAGGACGCTTGCTATGCCCTGCGAGTCCGCGGCTCAGAGATCCCCAAGCACATGTTGGCCGACGTGTTCTCCAGTAGGACCACACTCATGGACCCAGAGGAAGGAGTGGTTTAATCCTCTGTGGCCTCTGTTCTCTCTTCTCTGTGGTGTCATTGTCCGCTTCAGCTTTGCTCCACTGTTATTGTTTGTACGTATTTTAATTGTATTTGTTACTGTTTGTTTTTGGAAGTTGTTCCCCACTCTTGCTGAGGGTTAAGGGCAGATCATGTCGCACTTTGTAAAGCCCTATGAGACAAATGTTTGTGTAAATGGGCTTTACAAGTAAAACTTGATCAACTGATTGCTATGTTTGACATGTTCTGAGAAATGCCTGTTAACTTTAATTTTGTCATTACAGTAAAAACAGGGTTACAATAGACAATGGATTTTTTTCTTTGATAATGATCTGTTTACTACAGTTGTTATGCCTCAATAAAAGTTCTGTGCCATGATCTCCTCGTCTTTAAGCTGTTTTGATAAAGTGAATGTTTATTCTTCTTTCTCTCCCTCTGCCCTCCTCTCTGTTACACAGATAATCTAAGGTAGAACCACAGGTCGCCTGCTCTAACTTTGTGGAAGAGGAACATGTGACCTTTGCACATTGTGCATGCCTATTCACTGCCACAGGCCTGCTGGCATATGCACAAACACACATAATCAACATGCTGCCTCCTCATTCTGCTCTCTGTCAACAGTCAATGACGCAAATTCAAAATAAGGTTTGGAGCGTGCTGACGAATATTCCTGGCAGAGAGCTGATATTCTCCCCCTCATATTTTTATACTGTCCAGATGGATGTTTACAGCAGAGAAGCAGTTCTGTGGATGAGTAATAGTCTATAACCAATAATTGTAGCTCTTCATGTTTGAGTTAAGAGGATTTTATTGTTAGATTAATCCTCACACAAATTGTTACTTTATGACCCTGGAAATGCAAAACATCAACTTAGCTTTTCCAGTTACTATCCCCAGCTGGAGCTTTATATTTACCAAAAATAGGATTTTGTGTTATCTGCATGGTTTTCCCTCCATAGACTAGATATCAATGTTATGTTCAATCTGCCACCTGGTGGCAAATAGTAGTACTGTACTGGACAGTCGACTGGTTTCTTGATGGAAATGATTGTATGATCTTAATCTAATGAAACAATACACGAGTTTTGACATTAGTGTTATAATCCATGACTGTAAGAAAAACAGTTTGTTTAATGTGAAAATTAATTACGCAATTCAATCAATGACCATGTTGAGGTGATTCTATGAGATATATATATATATATATATATATATATATATATAAAAACACATTTAGGCTGTACAAAAATAATCCTCTATGGATTCCCATGGAGGAAATATTACAAACATGTCATCAAAATATTTTTTTTATAAAACAAACGAAGAAGAGAGAGCAGCCAGTGTTTTTACATGTGAGTTAAATGTCTGATTAAATCAGGGCTGAGGTGTGAATATTAGACATAGAGAGCAGCATCATGAGGATGTGGCTGTTGAAAGATCCCTGTAGAGTGAGATCAAAACAACTAAATCTATGTGAAGTCTGACATCTTCTGGGGAAAGCAGAGAACACACTTTATTATACAGCCCTGTGGACCTATTTAATGCTGAGTACAAACATGGTAGAACAATAAATGTGCAGAGGAAGAAAACTGCACGGATCAGATGAAGTGTGTAGGTGGGCATCCCCTCTGTCGTAGCTTGGAACAAGTTACCACGTTTTGCTCAATTCATAGATTCCTATAGATATGTGATGATAATTATGTTATTTTATCTCATTGACACTCACAGTTGAGCAAAGATGGCCTAATATTGTTAGTTTACATAACTTCAGACTACACCAGCTACATATAACAGATCTGTCCAAAGGTATTTATTCATTTCTAAAAGTTTCAACATTTCCCAAAAGCACTCCTCTGAACAATCTCTCTGACACACTTTGGCTATCCTATGAAATCCTAATTTATTCACTGATGTAATAAGAAATGTAGGACGTTTTTCACTTCTATTCCCAGAGCCTCCCCTGTTTGGAGTCTCCCCTGCAGAGGCCTGCCTCACACGTTGAAAAGCCTCTGGGCTGGAGAACTAAAAGTACAATAAAAGTAAGTGAAATTGACACACGAGTTGTGTTTTCTTCACAGACTACAAATATCCTGGAAGCCTCCATTTGTTAGTTATGAGACACGAGGAAACATGCTGGGGCCCTGGGTGGTTGTCCAGTGACGGACAGTTAACTGATTTGTTTGCCAGAGGACATTAAGAGCCTCTAATCTTTAATACAGGGCAGGTGATCTCACTCTGCACTCATGCGTGCGAGGGACTGGATTTCATCCCTTCTGCCACGCAGCTCCCTCTTTTATCCTCCACAGAGTGAGTGAGTGAGGGCTCTGCACTCTGAGCTGAGCTTTTCATCAGCGAGGCTTGTCCATCAGTCTGCAGGCCGGCCAAGCTGAATGAATGGAGCATTTGGAAGGTGGATGAAAAGACTCGGCTCTATGTGAGGTCTCTTCTCATGCATTTCCCTCGCTGAATAAACAAAGGAACACTCTTGTACTTACACAAGGATGTGTTGGAGGGAGCTAAACATGCAAAATAACAGAGATTCTTGCACACAAACAATTATTTGAACCACATGTATAATACACTTCTGTGTGTCAGAGTGAGACTTGTGTATCTTGTGTTAGTGTGTTGAATGATTTTTTTAAATTCTAGCTTGTTGACCAAATTAAACTTACATGTACATACTGTATGGATGATCATATCCACACACACACCAGTATATCCACACAGGGGTGCAAGTGAGCTCAGGGAGATCCGGTGGGTGGGGGGGTGATTTCATTCAAACAAGTGTAGATCTGCACACATCTGTCCACATCACATACACACACCTTTTGCTTTTGTATTGATAGTAGTGTCCTTTTTGTTTTAATTGTAACATGATATTTTCAGGTAGTCGTTATTTTCTATGTCAACTTTGTATTGTCTAATTTCGTAGAGGCTTCAATAAAGGCCCACATGGGTCTCCTGCCTCCTCTGCACTGTATATCATTATTTGTCATTTTTTATGTATTATTTTTTACATATAGCATGTTTTAAAAAATGTTGTCGTCTGGGGATGTCATTGCCTCTAATTTTCCATGAATTATGGTTGCCATTGACTCCTGAGTCTGTTTTTATGTGTTAACTGTGTATTAGTATGTGTATTATGTCCCTGCTTGTACTTATATTTGAAACAACTTCATGTCATTGCACCATGACAGAGGTGATGAAGTATCTCAATGGAACTTTTCTGGTTAAATAATGGATAACAAGTTTGAAACAGCACTAGAACTACAACTATAACAATAGTAGGAATTCTTTTTTACATCCAATTATAACCGTGAAGTCTTCCTCCAGAAGTCACGATGGCCCTGAGATAACCCGTGCGCAAAGACGAGCAGCAGCAGTGCTCAGTGATGTGTCCGCTGCGGTCATGAGGCGGACTGAAGGAGTCTGGAGTCAAATTCCTGAACACGTAGGAACCTCCTCACGTTGCTCCAACACGACGACGCACGGCGCAGGGGCGCAGCGAGTAACGGATTACTGATCGACCGGTCAACTCACCGATGAGGCACGGATTTTTTTGGCTCCAACTTTACGCTCAATTTACGGATGTTTTCCTCCACGTTTTTGAAACTAGAGAAATTACATGACAACCATCTTTTCCCCCCAGACCGCCTGTTCAACTGAAGCCGCCGGTTTACCACAGATGAGAAGAGTCTGAAACAAAGTTCTACAGTTTCTTCATCTGGACATATTGTGGACAAAGGGCCGCGCGTAAAAAAGCCGGTTTTACGCGTTGTTCTAAAGCGCAAGAGACAAATAACAATCTGGATTCACTTTTCACCACTTTTCCACAGCGGAAATGAGCTCAAGAGCCGCAGCCTGGATCCACTTCTGCTAAAACATGGTCGCTGTAACTCCGCGTAAAACCGGGATCTGACACCGACTTCTGGCTACAATCAGCTTTTTTTCCGATGGGAAGATGTTCGCTGGACTGATGGGGCTGAACTGTCACAACAACTCTCTGCTTCACCACTGCGAAGTCACAGAAGGTAAACAATCAGCGTTTTTTCTCCCCCTCCAAACCAAACACTTCTGTTTACTCCACAGTCACCAAACACTGATCTGTGATCTGATGCAGGAGGGACGAGAGCTCTGGATTCTCACTTTAAGTTAATATTCAAATATGAGATTTAAATGAACATAATGGAAAGTACCCATGCAGAAATGGGAACAGAGTAGATCTACATATTGTATTCATTGTGTAAGCAGTAGCTGACTGGTCCATCTCATCCAAAACTAGACCTACAGCTCAGCATGGACGTTGCACTGTGATGCTTCATGTCACAGCAAAAATCAAGTGTCATTCAGGCTTCAGAGTTCAGAGGCTTCAACACTCAATCTCCTGGATAAGTGATGATAAATGAGGAATTTCAAGTGGCCAAATACTTGATACAAATACTTGTAAAATACCAGAACAACTCTGAAAATAAATGACAGCACTGGAAATGTGAAGACAAACGTTGTGCTGACATGGTTTTGTCTGTCATGCACAGCTAAGTAGCACCTTTCACATACACATGTAGTTGTCTGTGATCTAGGTCAGCTCACACAGGATGCCTGTGAGCACCACACACTGAGACAGGCTGGAGTAAACTTACTGTGAGCAAGTTCATGTTTCTTTCTGGTTTAAACTTGAGCCCCAAAGGTCAGGAGGTGTGGCACATATAAAGTTATAGAACAAACTCTGTGATTATGCCATACTGTACATTTGCAAAACTGACCCATAACTGATCAGATCAAAAGTAGGACTAAAACAAAAGTGTATCGATGATCTTTGTAATCTAATCAAAAGCAATGTAACAGAAGTTCAATGGTGAATCACCAATTTGATGGATGCATGGATGACAAACTTCTTGTCACACTCATCACTGACTTTCACTTCCACTTCCTCTGTCACTGTGGTCAGTCACAAGTGGAGAGGTGCTTCTTCAGAGGCTGCTGACAAGCATGTGTGTGTGTGTGTGTGTGTTTGTTGGGGAGCTGAGGTTGTTCCTTAAACATTTGTGTTTTAATGTTGTCCTCTACATTCCTCTGCTCAACCAATGAGATGCAGCGTTGATCCAAAGGCCTCTGGGAGGGGAGTGGGGGTCTTTAATATCCAAAAGTAAATAATCGATCATGTGGTTGTCAGTGTTGAACCACTCTAGTCTCCTTTCGCTTATTTATATTTCTGTCGGAATTCCCGACAAACTTTTTTAGCACAAAGCCAGACAGGAAGCAGCAAATGACATACCTCCTCAGCCATGATGTAGATGGCCCCTCAACACACACACACACAC